TTGTGAAGGAGACAGACAATGAGGTGAGGATGCGTCTGCTGCAGTTTGTCACGGGGACCTGCCGCCTGCCCCTGGGAGGCTTCGCCGAGCTCATGGGTGAGTGCCGCCTACGGGCGCTGTCACAGGGCGTGCGCGGGCGGGGGAGGGAGCAGGCCTCTAGATCCTGGTCTTTGTGCGGATGTGACGCTTGCTCCATCACCCGCGTGACCACGTGACATGTTCTGTAGGTAACTAGTTGCAACACCGAAAGGTTTGAAGGACCAGACAAATTTTGTCTTATTTTTCTGGTTTAGGAAGTAATGGGCCTCAAAAATTTTGCATTGAAAAAGTTGGGAAAGACACCTGGTTACCAAGAAGCCATACGTGGTAAGTTGAATCCTAAATGGAAGGTGGAAGCCAGTGTTTTGCTTTTTACATGTAAGACCCATTAGCATTGCTGACTCATTAGCGTAGGCGGAGTTCAGTTTTGAGAACAGACCAGGACGCAGCGCCCTGCAGAGAGCACAGCGCGGCCTCTGGCTGAGCGCCTGGGAAGCATGGCCCTGCCTGAGCCCGCAGGCGCGCAGCCACTGCGCACACACAGGCCGCCGGGCTCCTCCTCCTCCTCCCCCCGCTCCTGTCCGCTCCTGGGAAAGGCGCACAGACAACAGCCAGGCAGCAGTGCTAGGAGGCGGTGACAGCCGGCAGGGCCTTGCCAGAGTTTGATGGACAGTGGGCTGTGGAGACGCAGGAAGCACATGTTTTGTACAGGGCTGTTTGCAAACCCTGACATAAGCAACTGCAAACATGAGGGGACTCGGGAGCGGAGCAGGGCAGAGGGGGAAGAGGGCAGAAACGCAGGCAGGGCCACTGCAGGGCCAGCCTGTGTGGACTGGAAGGGAACAGACCGCTGTCAGAACAGTGTCTGTGTTAATGCGTGAGGTCCGTGTTGGACACTTGGCCACCCTGTCCTTTTCTAATGTGCTTCAAGGACACTGTGCTAGACCCTCAGCTCACTTGACTGAATACTCTGATTCTGTCTGTCCAGTTTCAATCGCTTGGACCTGCCACCGTATAAGAGTTACGAGCAACTGAAGGAAAAGCTGCTTTTTGCCATAGAAGAGACCGAGGGGTTCGGACAAGAATAGGGGCTGTGGCCGGAGGCTCTGCGTCCGCACCTCCGCAGACATAATGGTCCGTTCTCACACGGAACATGCAGAAGAGCTCTTCCTTTTCTACTTTATTTATTGTTCCCTTGAACTGACAGACCAGGAAAACGATCTCCCTTAAATTTGGAAGTGAGAGACTTTACTAGAAATGAGCATCTCCGTCAGCGGGCTGCAGCGGCTCTAGTTTTATAGAGCTGCTCGGCGACACGCCAGCTCCTGCCCATGTCTGGACGCTCCTCCTCAGCTCTGCCCCCCCGTGACATCTCCGCATGGTGTGGGGTTCAGGAAGGTGCAGAGGCCGAGGCCAGATCTGAGGACGTGAACTGCGCTGCTGGCTATTCTGAAGACGGTGCTGGAGCCCGTCCGTCCGTCCCATTAAATGCGAGTGGAGAGTGCTCACCGCGCCACAACGCAGTGACACCACACTTACCCGAGTCCCCTGACCAGACCCAGCGACGCCTGGAGGTGTGTGCCTACTCCTCCAGGTGCTAGGATCTGTGGGACTCAAGGAGCTGCACGCCTGCACTATTTTTAAAAATGTGATGGGCTTTAAGTTTAATTCATAATAAATTGATGCAGTTTGATCCTAAGGGACATATAAAGGGTAATGTGACCTTTCCCACTTTTATTTGTGCTCATAGTTTTGGTTCCTAAAACCATACGGATGGAAGAGTTTGTGAGCATCTGACTTCAAACTAATGAGTCTAATGATTTCCTATTAGTGTCTTAATATCTCCATTCCTTGAAAATTGATGAAAATTCTATGTATCTGAATTACATAAGCAGATAAAAAAGTCTTTTGTCCTTCCCCCCTTTCTATATAGATCATTATTTTTGTCCTAAGTAAATACTTTTTAATTATTTTTCATTATCAAGGGCATTTGCTGAACTACAAACATGTATAACAAATTAAAATCTGATGTGAATGACATTAATGCTACTTTAGCAAACGGGGGCTTCCTTATTAATACAAAAATTTAAATTTGTATTATTTCAATATGCACTGTAAATTAACTTAAAATTTTTTATAACCACGGAAGTGACACCTTAGAATGTTAATATATTTCACTGCTGAGTACATATGAAAAATATTAGTATACAATTTAATTTCCCTAAAGTTTGTGTTGCCAAAATTTTATTTTTCTATATATTAGATTGTGTTCTGCATTTTTTCAAAACTCACAGTAAAGAGGCAATAAAGGCAGTGATCCACATGGCTGCTTAGACTCCTTTCCCCGCCCTCACCATGACCGTGTACACGACAGAGGGCGCGCCCCCTCCCCGTCCTCAAGCGCTGCTCCTTACGCCGCCCACTGTGCCCACTGCTCTCACTGCACCCAACTCACAGCCAACCCTGAGGCCCCTGGGGAGGTGGCCTGTCCAGACCCAGCAGAACCCCCTCCCCAGGCTCCTCTGGACAAGCTGCCCCCTCTTGTCAGACAGCCCTGCCGAGCGAAGGACATTTGTCACATGAACCCATGGCCCTCGCCAAAGGCCAGTGAGGCCCAGGCACACAGCCAACACGGGGCTAAAGTGAGCACCACACGAAAGCAAAAAATGCCACCGAAAAACTGTCCAAACGCGGCATCTCCTACATGGCAACGCTCCTCGCCTGATGTTAGCCAGGGGCACAGGCCGACAGGCGACACTGGCGCTGCAGTGCTCACTGGGCCCAGCGCCCTCCTCGGCTCCACGGTGGCTTTCCTGTTTCCCTTGCTGTGATGACGCACTTGCTTTCGAGAGAGGAGAGGGAGTCGGACAGATTCCCACAGAATTCCACCCACGTCAACAGGAGGGAAACTGCCAACAAGAAGTTGGGACGTTCAGGTTCTCCCAGAACAGCAGGCCCTTTGCAAGTTCAGATTCTTGTCAGCCTCAAAAGGGAATGTGTCTGCAGGGAGGTCGCTAACCACCCACCCCGACAGAACGCGCACTCCTGCGCCCACGAGGGGAAGGAAGGGGCCCGAGGCAGGGCCGCCAGGGAGGACATCTGGGTCCGGAAGCAGGTAGAGGTCTGACCTGAGGGAAGGGTGGGCATCAGTCTCCTCAGAGTCAAAAGGAAGAGACAGAAGGTGTACAGGACCGAGCTGGGAAGTGCCTCGTCCTGGGGGAGGGAGCCCCCTTAGTCCCGAGGGAGGAGACAGCTCTGGCTCCCCTTCGGCCCAGCAACCAGCTCAGCACCAAAGACCCCCATGGCCTGATGCCTTCAAGGGATTAGGCTACATGAACGGGAACAACCAAACAATGAAATACAGTCAATGAAAGGAAAGGAAGCACTGGCTGGATTTAGACGGATCTCAAAGAAATTCTGTGAGTGAACAAAGCCAATCTCCTGAAATGACAAAACGAGAGACACAAGTCGGGGAGGGGGCGCGGAGTGGGACTCGGACACACCAGGGAGCAGGGAGCTCTGGGAGTGCAGGCAGGCGTCTCCCTCAGTGCCCAGCTGGCGGGCAGACTCGCTGTTACACTGGGCACGCGAGGCAGACACACAGCCTCTGCACTAGTTTGCACAAAGAAAACAGTAGTTGAAAGCTCTACAGAACATCAGCAGACAGACATCTCCGCAGCAAAAGGCTTTATTACTGAGCAATACCTCACTTCCCAGAGACCACTCGGCAGAGGGCAGTCTGCCCAGGCCCCACCTCCCACGCTCACCTGCTAATCCCACACAAGGGCTCGCCTTCAGAAAGCAGCCTCAGAGCCACTGCAACAAAAGTGTAAATAACGTTGGACGGAGAAGATCCAACATACACAACCAATCGGGCGTGAAGGGCACGGGACCACTGGTTCTCAAAGTAGGTTCTGTAAGGTCCATTGAACAAGGGACAATGTAAGACTGCTGGCCTGGCCACTTGACACAGTCACTGCTAAGAAAAAAGATGGGAGTGTTTCCGATTTCACAAAATGTAGGTGGGAAATCAAATGCAAGGTGTGACATTTGCATCCCGGCTTTAAAAACTGTAAGACATTGTGACATTTGAGGAAACTTAAAGGTCTGGGTATCAGATGAGGGGGGATGGGGTTAAGGTTCTAGCTGTGGTAATGGACTGTGAAGGGGGTCTGTATGATGAAGTGTTTGGGATGAACTACACCGTGTGCACTTAATTCAAGGTTGAGGAATATATATGACCACACACACACATAGGCAGAATCTACATGTGATCACAGAGACACACACAGAGGCAGAATCTACATGTGACCGCACATGGAGAGACACAGTCCACTGTTTCCCTTCATGTTTGAAAGCACACGAGACACCGTGTGCCCCAGTCACAGGGGCATCACCCCTAACCCTCGGGGAGTCACCCATGGACCCTCATTCAAGATGCTCCTTCTCACAAACAGCAACAGTGCCGGGCACCAGCCCGAGGGCACAGCATCGTCTGCCTCTGGTTAAACATGTCCCATTCCTCCCTTGAGTTGTGTTCTTTTTACCCCATCAGGGAACAGGCCTGGGCTCTGTCCTGTCACAGACCACCCCTGTGAGACCAAGTCCCAGCATGCACAGAGACTGATGCCCAGCACCCCAATTCCCAACCTCCTCACCCCACTGCCCCTTCTCTGCAGGGTCTCAGCTGGAGCCACCAACTGGAAACGTGCCCCTCCATCCCATGTGATTGGTTCTCAAATGCCATGCCTGGAACGCTGGAACCCCAGACGCACAGGAACGGGCCCCCCACCACGGGACACCGCCACCACCTCACAGCAGTTATTTGTGAAGAATCTGTGTATTTCAGTTGTCATATGGTCACGTCATTGGCACTGAGAGCCAAGACCAGTCGTGTTCACACGCGTACAGTTGGTGGGAGGGCAACACCCTAGGTGTCATGCGCTGCGTCTCTGAAACGCTCAGTTCTTGCCACTGAACTCTGCGAGCAGCTGTGCGGCTTCTCTCTGTATCTAAAACGAAAAGACAGACGGCACAGCAGAGATCAGCTTGTGGAATTCAGGGTCACCGTGGGCGGCAGTTTCTGTGTCCACACCCAGGACGGCAGGTCGTCGGGACAGAATGTCTGGGCAGTGCCTGGAGAGGCGTTCAGACTTCCACAGAACACCCCCCTCCCCCCGCCTGTTTGTCACACAGGAGTGACTCAGGACTGCAGCAAGGAATTCATAACATGCCGATAGTAACTAAGCATTTGCTGTGCAGAACTTAGCACAAATGTCAGTGCTTCACGTCTGAAACGTGCACCACTGCTTCCAACAAGCTGCGTCACACAGCGTGGCTGGGCCTCCCGCCTCCCGCCTCCCGCCGCTGCGGGCACACCTGCTTGTCCTCCTCGGTGCGGGCCGGACAGTCCTTGGCCTTCAGCAGCCAGAGCGCAGCGAGCTTTTTGTTCTGTAGCTTCAAGTATGTCTTTCCTAAGAGAAGCAAGTTTTTGCTGTAGAAGTTTGGATCCACTGTTCACAAGAAAGAAAAATTTCTCTCAGGCACAATTGTATTGCTCTCATTTTTACCACACGCCCCCGACAGGCTTCCTGTTGGGGGTCTGAATTCCAGTTACCTGTGGTGAATAAATGACTATCCAACTGGGAACCTCCTGTTCACCTGTTCCTCCCTCCAGACAATGTCACAGCCAATCGGAGCACCTCCGGGTGCGGCTCCCGCTGCGCACTCCCTCGCGGCCTTTTCTCTGCAGGCGCTGGTCCAGGCTGCCAGCACAGGGCCTGCCTTCTCCCAGCGCCTGCTCCCTGCTCACCTCACAAGCTAGAACCTAACATGCACTCGGCACGCGTGAAGTCATGACAACACACACACACAGTACATGCCAGACCAGCTTGTGCTGGGTGGGGCTACCCCTAAGCACAGATCAAACACAAGCTCTGCTCTCTGGGAATTTATAATGAAAAGGCAAGAGAAACAGGAGCACGATGAATGTGCTGAGCAGGGAAGAAGGCGCCAACAGGTGTGAGCTGTAAAGTGCGAGGAGACACAGGAAGAGCCGCTCCCTCGCGGGGCTGCACGGGCTGCGGCGGAGCAGGGTTGCGCAGGAAAAGGAGACCCGTCCGGCTGAGGGAACCCCCAGCACCACGTCTACCAATGAAAGCTGGGATTCCCTACAGGGTCCCTCTGACCTGGGCCCTCGGGGCTCACATCCCACTTCTTCCTGGTGGCTGACCTCCCTCTGCTCCTTACCCCGTTGTCCTTCCTTCGCACAGACTTAGGGGCCTCTGCCCGCGGCTGTGCTCATTTCCTCCCGTGACCCACACTCCTTCCTTCCTCTCTCGCTCAGCAAAGCGGCCCAGAACAGGCCGGCCAGCCCACCTTCCCTGCAGGTCGCCTCAGAGGCACCGGGCACTCCGCGGCCGCAGGGCCCTGGCAGGGAAGGTAAAGCACGAAGAGGGAGGAGGCTTCCAGCCCCGACATGGCCCGCAGGAAAGGCCTCCTCACGGGCCTTCAAGGTAAAACATGGAGACGGCCACTCCCGGGGATTATTTTACCTCCAGGAGAGTAAGCCCACGGTTTCCTCAGTCCCAGCAAACCTCCCCACTAACGCCCTCCAGGAAACTTCACTCCTAGGCCCCATTCAGAGACGGAAAACCCCATGAGGAGGTGGACAGAGGCCGCAGCGAGCCAGAGCAGCTGTGTGACAGACGGAGACATTCCGACAACTGTTCCGAAAGCTGCTGCTCTGCTCCGCTGTCCTGAGAGCCTTGAACAAGTCCTCTGAGCAGGCCCGCAAACCTAATTTTCTGAGTAAGTTTTGTAGAAATACACTTGCATTTTTTTGGTGTATCTGGTAACATGCTGTGTGTCCCTGACTGCTGTGGTTTTAACTTAGAAGGCCTGGGAGGGGAAGAGAGGGGGGTGGAGGGGCAATGGGAGCACAGAAAGGGGGACATCTGTAATACTTTCAACAAAAAGACACATTAACAAAAAGGATAAACAGAGGGCAGCGGGGCAGTGTGAGTGCGGAGGCTGCCATTTCCTCAGAGCGAGAGGCACGGAAGGCCGGGCGGCCGGGATGAAACTCCGTGAACCAGGCGCCAAGTCAGGCGTGCGGCCGGAGCCTCGGAACCAGCAGCAGGCCCGCTCCTTATTTCATTTTTAAATCCTCACTCAAGGATTTGTTTCTTATTGACTTTAGAGAAAGGGGAGGGGGGGAGGGGGATATCGATCGGTTACCTCCCTTACACGCCCTGATCAGGAAATTAAACCAGCAACCTGGGCATGAGCCCTGACTGGGAATCCAAGCTGCCACCTTTTGGTGCATGGAGCATGTTCCAGCCAGCTGAGCACACGCCAGGGCAGCGGGGCCTACACCTTACTCACGTGAATAAAACCTTTAAAGACCGTCTGATAAAGCCCAGTACAAAGGTGTGTCAGGATAAACTATCTTTGTTTTGAAATTCCTAACTATATAATAAAAGCCTAAGCGACCGTTACAGCAGAACGACCAGAACAACCGGTTGCTATGATGCACACTGACCACAGGGGGCAGGCGTTCAACGCAGGGGCTCTTCCCTGGCGGTCAGTGTGCTCCCACAGGGGGAGCGCCGCTCAGCCAGAAGCTGGGCTCACAGCTGGCAAGCGCGGCGATGGTGGCAGTGGCAGGAGCCTCTCCCACTTCCGCAGCAGTGCTAAGGAGCAGCGAGCAGGCAGGCGCAAGCAGGCAGGTAAGGAGCAAGGATTCCTGGACTGCGAGAGGGATGCCCAACTGCTGGCTTAGGCCTAATCCTCGTGGGGAGCCTAAGCCACAGGGCAGACATCCCCTGAGGGGTCCCAGACTGCAAGAGGATGCAGGCCGGGCTGAGAGACGCCTCCCCCTCCATGCACAAATTTCATGTACTGGGCCTCTAGTTACATATAAAGCATTCACATAATTTTAACTATATTAGTATCTGAAATAAAAAATATCTTACCTTGCTCTGCCTTTTGGAAGTAGCCTAAGGCCTGTAAAAACACAAAGAATACAAACATAATGAAAAGGATTAAAATAGATTTAATATTTAAAAATCTTCTCAAACGCTATTCCTATTTTACATACAAGCGAGGAAGTAGATGAAAACCCTTTAAAATCACAGCCCAATCACCAACAGTAAGCGTAACATAGCACTCAGGGCCCTGCGCACAGAGCACATGGGCCCTCGAGCCCCAAGGTCCCGGCACAGCCTCACGCAGAGAAAGGAGGCCGCGGGCAGCTCGCTCTCCTCTCTTCTTCAGTCCCAGCAGGGAACACCCTGAAAACCAGGCAAAGTGGAAAGCTGCGCTTCCTCAGTGACACACTGGGTGTACCAGGGAGTTTTTAAAGTTATTACTGAAATTCCTACATAAAATGCTACTGTGAGTCTAAAAGGGTTAATTCTTTATGACTCACTCAAACGGTTTTTATAATACACTACCTACCAACTGATTTCTTAAAAACCAATTTGTTAGAGCAGAGCTATCTTTTCTCTTAGAATGCACTGTTTTTAATAGCAGTAGGTATTTCCCAGCTGTGTAATTTACACCTCAGTGCACCTTACATCGGATTCCACTACAGCTTTCCAGAAAGAAACAGGCTCTCACTATGACACTAGTATTCAGAAAGCCATTTCAATGGCCTGTTTCCTCACTCTGCACATTTTTTGACAAGCAAACCCAAAACGTTTGCCCATAAATCCCCCTCAACATTCTTTCAACAGCACTTAAAAAAGTTATGGAGCCCAGGTAGTGTGGCTCAGTGAGTTAAGCATCGACCTATGAGCCAGGAGGTCATGGTTCGGTTCCCGGTCAGGGCACATGCCCGGGTTGTGGGCTCGATCCCCAGTTGCGGGCAGGCAGGAGGCAGCTGATCAAGCACTGATGTTTCTCTCTCTCTCTCTATCCCTTCCTCTCTGAAATCAATAAAAAAAAATGTTTTTAAAAAAAGTTATCGATGCCAAGTCACGCTTTCTTTGGCATGGCAGGGAAATGACGTGCAGAGAATATGTCCAAACAGCTTGCTAGGAGCAGGTGCTGTGCTTCCTGCCCTACTTGGCATTCACGTGGCACAAGTTTCAAACAGAAAATGGAGGCAGCTGTTTGCCGCGGGCGTCACAAGCCTCCACTAGAGAAATCGACCCAGAGTCACGGACACAGTGAAGGCCGAGTGGCCGCCTGGACAAGTCCCGAGGGAGCCCTGCGAGTGCCGCCCCGGGAGGTCAGCACTCACCTCCTCGTAGGTGGAGCTGGGAGGGGCTGCAAACAGCATGTTGGCAATTCTTCTCTGATACCAAGGCATTTCAGCAAACGTGTAGCACCTGGGGAAGTCAAGAAACGTTCATGCATCGAACTGACTTACTTTCTCTTCAAGAAAATCAAGCTTCTTAACAGACACACAGGACGCTGGTGCTGCCTGTTTAAGCAGCGTGTGCTGGACATAACCTCAGAGGCTCACTTCCACCCCGAGTTATGCAGGGACTGACTGACACTGCTCCATCGAGGGGGGGCTTGTGATCACATGTAAACAGGGGTGACTACTGGGAACAGCGCTGAGAGGCCATGGAGCCTCCGCGGGCGAGAGGGCGTGTGCAGGGAAGAAGGGCGCATACTCAGGGCTGGGCACCACCTGCGGCGTCAGGCAGCCGCTGGGGCCCTGGGCATGCGCCCGCGGATGAGAGGGGACCACTGCACCTGTTGCTAAATGATCTGAATAACGACGTCTGACAAGATCACAATTACATTTGTATTTCCTAACTACAGGCACAGCTGCTGGTTGATTTAATGGTTAAGCAAGCACTCCTGACTGCCAAGCAGCATTTTAAAATAGCTGATATCTTGCTTTTTTAAACACTACAAAATAAGATCACACTATGTACCACTGAAATATTTATTCAAAGAAATTTTCTTACCAAATACCCATTAGGTGAATCGAAGTCGCATCTTTAGGGTTCAATTCAATTGCTTTCTAACAAGAAATGAGAAAATCAAGCAGAATTGTACTTGTTTACTGAGGAAGCACAAGGTAAAACAGGTCAGGAAAGTGTCCCTCATTTCTATTTACGTGACAGCCCTGTGTGAATTAATGTAAAGTATAAATGACAGTAACTTTAACAAAATTACTCCTTTGATACATTATTTTGTTGAAAACTGCTAAGGAAATTTCAGAGGTTAATGTAGTGCCATTAAAAATAAAAGACCCTTTTTAAAACTGGGACTCCCTAGCGTCTGCTTCTCTGCGCACCCACACTATCGCTTCCAGTCTGGAGTGTGTGCGACACACACTTTCAAATCTTTGCACTGTTACTAGTGTGGGCTCTGAAGCCAGACTACTGGGTCGCAATCACAGCTCATGCCTCCTAACGTCTTGGCCTTGGGATGTGTCTCTTTTCTGCCTGGGTTTGCTCCTTCAGAGAACTGAGACAATCACACACCTCCCAATAAGTTCTGGTGACAATGAAATGAGCAAGTCACAGAAGGTGCTTGGCACAGCAGTGTCTCCCGTCACCACTGTTTCCTTTTCTTAGGTCCTGGCATCATCTCTCACAGCGCGGTCAGTGGCAGCAGCAGTCACAGAAGGAGGCTAACGAGTGTGACTGGCGGAACTCCGGCTCAATAGTACGGGGAAGACGCAGCGTGGATTGAAAATGTGCTTTTCCATAAACATGGTTGCATGAGTTATAGCAAAACACAACTGGAAGTATTTACAACCTCTACTCTAAGCTCCTTCCCTGCTGGAGTCCCGCTGGAAAACCACGCCCTGCCAACGCCATGTAAGTCACTGTTTTCTCACCCTGCCAAGGGCAGGGCAGGTCTAGAGAGAAGTTAGCCTCCCGATTCCTGGGCACTAGAGCTCAACCTCTCACAGCAAACCCTCCAGTTCAATCTAAGTCCAGTTAAATAAAGACAGGCACTCCTCTGACTTAGGTAAATAGGGATCTGAAACAATAGTATAAATGGTAAACACTGTCATTTTAAAACACACTGAACACATATACATTTGAAAGCTTATAAAAAACATTGAATTTTAAAATATTATAGCCTTCATGTTCGAAGTTTAGATTAATATACATTAATATATTTTCTGCGATTTTTCACTATTTACGTTGGCAGTTACCTGTCATGTATTTCTACACACCAAGGCACAGAGTAACTGAGATGCGGCATTAGGCAAGATGCCATAGTCACTGAATCTAAGACACCACAACATTATCTTACGTACCACTAAGACTACAAAGGAAATATAAGATACCACTGACTACACAATGCTGTCTGATTTCTAAGACTTAAAATGTGAAAAAGACCTATTAAATTGAAATGGATAGACAAGTGTGTCTATACACATGTGCACACACGTATTACTGTGCCTGAAGAAGCAGCTAGGTCTCCTGACTTGCCATCCAATGTTCTGGTAAACTAGTCATTAAAAAATCTAGAAGCTGAGTCTATGACCATAAAATTCAGACATCTGTTGCCCAGCCTACCTAACATTATCCCTGCCTGTGCTTTCCCCGCCTGTGCCTCCTTGGTAGCTCCGAGATGGTCTAGAATACCACGCGAGAGACGAACATGCTGCAACAGGGCCAGTGTCGGGTGGAACAGATGCGTGGAGAGCCCGGGGCAGCCGAGGGAGCACTTACGGTGATGCGAGCACTAACTTCAGGGAGATGTGAGCACACCCAGAGGCCACAGCGTACACAGTGCTGTCCCCAGGCAGGGGCTGCGATGCTGGCCTGTCAGCCTGTGAGCCCCACAGACTCTGGCTTCGCCACATGACTTGTGTGGGCTGACGGGGTATTACCAGGTGTGAGGCAGGTTTGCACACCAGACTTTCTCCCTGGGCCGCCCACTCTTGGAAGCCAGCAATCATGCAATAAAGGAACAGAAACCAATGGAGACGAGAGGCCCCTGTGCATCCATCCCTGCGTGGAGCAGGTGAGCACAGCCCGCGGGAGCTTAGCTGCACCCCCAGAACAGAGCACGGGTGCTGCCACAGACCTGAGACCACCGCCTCTCCAAGGCCAGAAAGTCTGAGGCAGTCTGATCAGCTGCCGGAACAGTGAACCAAACACCCAGAAAGCCCACGCCTGCCCAGTTCACTGATACCTCAAAATGCTCCTTGATAACGTAGGCATTTGCGATTTTAGCCTTGATGCCTTCGTAATCGCCGACGTCACTAATGCAGATGGCACACCACTAAAAACAGAAAACAGATGTAAGAATAACAACGCTTAATACTGGTCCATTCAACACAGGTAAAACGGAGTATTTATTCCTCATTCAACAAAAGTTACTGCGCATAAACACCGTACCCAATACGCTGGGACAGACGGAGAAGTGGACGGCCTCGGGAGCTCAAGGAGAAGCTGGCCCTGTGTGCTCCTAGACCAGTGGTCGGCAAACTGCGGCCCCTCGAGTGTGGCTCTTCCACAAAATACCACATGCGGGCACGCACGTACAGTGCGATTGAAACTTCGTGGCCACACTCAAGGGGCCAAAAGCCGCATGTGGCTCGCGAACCGCAGTTTGCCGACCACTGTCCTAGACGAAGGTACAAGGCAGAGAACAGCGAGTCTCTAGGATGGTCGTCAACACAACACTGTAGTGATTCATGGTGAGGGGCTGAGTATGAATTTAGAAAAATCCGAGATCAGCTATCATCTTACTTCCTCGTCCTTTGTTCTGGGAGTTGCCTCCTCCTCCTCCCACATCTGCACGGTCCTGCTTCCAGTCACTGGCAATTTGAAACTTTGGAAGCTTGCTGAATTAAAAAATAAAATAATATATCTAGATATTTTTGAAATGACAAAATACTGAAATATTAATCTAAATTTGCCTCATGAAAAATCTAGAAGACAAAATTAAATCTATTAATTGATTGTGTCTTGTATTTTTAAAGTTTATTCTTAAAAATATAAGCTGTTGCCCTGGCCGGTTTGGCTCAGTGGATAGTGTTGGCCTGCAGACTGAAGGGTCCCGGGTTCGATTCTGGTCAGGGGCATGTGCCTTGGTTGTGGGCACATTACCAGTGGGGGGTGTACAGGATGTGGCTGATCAATGTTTCTCTCTCATCGATGTTTCTGACTATCCTTCTCCTTTCCTCTCTGTAAAAAAATCAATAAAACATATTTAAAAATATATATATATAAGGTGTTTTTAATTTAAAGAAATGTTAAATATCTGACTTGCCAGCTAAGAGTTTAAAGTTCAAGTTAAATTAAATTGGGAAAAATCATATAGTTGTGGTAAAATTTCAACATTGGTCTAATTAAAAAAGAGGATTAATTCTGTGATCTCAACCAAATTTTTAATAAAAAAAACAGTTAAAATTTAATTGATACCTTTTAATAATTATAAAAAATATATATAATCTTTAAATAATATATACATATATATTTGATGGTCTTTCCAGTTAAATTTCAAGGCTATAACCGAGGGATGATTTTTTGGAAAACTCCAAGGGCCCGGGGTGATTCAAAAAGCTTGTTCTCTCTTCTTAAAGGAAATATTTTTTAATTAAGCCGATCTTATATACTTGAAATCACATGGAAAGCTTTATCAAATAAAAATTAATGAATATATTTTACTTATATACATATATCTTAAATGTTATGAAGGTTTTGGCCTCTAAGGAGGACAAAATAAAGTAGCTTAAATATTTCTTAAAATCCAACAGCAGGATTTTAAGACAGAATAAAGCAAACAAAAGCCCCTAGCCGCCTGCATTTTAAATTATGCTGGAGGTGGGGCAGTGTTTGTGCCTTGTGAATCAGACGTATAAGTTTACTAAATTTACTTGCTTTGCTTTTTTAATAAAAATACCTACTTAAATTACTTAATAAATTAGCTTTTAAAATATAATCAAGGTCTCATATAAATTAAGTTATATGAGAAGCCAGTATTTTTATAAACAATTTAATCCTAGTAAAGTTTTCCAAATTACTGAGGCTTCCCATAATCCCTCTGTATATGCAAATGAGCCCAAAAGGGATACTCTTAAAAATATAATTATAAATATAATAAAAAGGCAAAATTTTAAAATTCTGAAATCTCTTCCACTAATATTTATAGGATAATCTAAAGATTGTTGTTAAAATACCAAATCTAACTATAGTAGTAGTCACCATGATTGTAAGGGAAGTTGTTTAATGTGACATGGCCTGGCACTATCAATCACTATACAAGAAACAACCATATCTGTTACATTTGTTGCTTGTTGTAAAAAAGAAAGACCAACACTTGTTTTAAACTCTTTAAGTATAGCCTAGAAATTATTCTGGAAGAAAATTAAAAAACATTTCCTTCAAATATCTGGAAAACTGCAATTGAAAGTCAATACATTAGGCCCTGAAAAATAAAAGTAAATCATTTGTAGTTTTGTTGTTCCTGACAAAGTTTATGTAAAATTACTCAAAGACTAATGACAGAAGTTTAGTTACTATCATGTATTGTCCATAACCTAGGACAAGTAAAGTTAACAATAATAAAAAAAAAAAAACCTTATTTCAAATTAATTTAAATTAGCTAATTGCTAGAAGTAAACTTTTAAGAAAACTTAATTGTACTATACAGGAAACTGTTCCTGAAGCATTAACTAATTTTTATTGATGGTTCATCTCCTAGTAAAATTGCTTAACATACAATGAATCATATTTCTATACAAGAAATTGAAGTTAAAAGTTACCAAAACTGCATTGCAAAATTTCCAAAAAGTCTCCTAATATTTAAATCAAAAAAGGGGGGATAGTGGAATAATGCCCTGTAAGTAAAAGCCTTAATTGTTTTAAATTTTTACTTTGAAAATTATTTTTCACTTGTAATGCTAATAGCAAGACACCCATAAAAACACTCATGGTGTCAAAATAAGCCAAAGGAAAATTGGGCAAAAATTAAAAGGATCCCAGGTCTAATTTATAAGATGATTCCTTTATTAACCTTTGGTCGAGAATATGTTTGTATATTTCCAGAAAACTCCTCCAAGCCCATGTGGATTCCTGCAACAACGGATCCCAGAGAGGAACTGACAGGACTGCTCCAGCCACAGAATAGCAGTGGCCCCAGAACAACAGAAGAGAAACAGTCCAGAAATGGAGATGGTGAAGACGCCTTGCCATGCTAGCAGTCAGCAGCTGTGTGTAGCTGCAGGTTGCCCAGGACCAAACTAGAGAGGGTCGGACCTGCATTGCCACCGTCTGTCCACCATCCAGAACTGAAATATCATTGCTGACATGTACACATAAGAACTGTTGGACATTGAAATTGGGACTCTAAGAACTGTTGGCCCAGAAAGAAACTCACTGCAAACTGATTCCTTTAATGCCTGGAAACAATTTAAAGGGACATGATAGAACTCCGTCCTTCCCATTGAATTTAAAAATCTTAAAACATACATTCTTGTTAAATTTTAAATAATCGAAAAGGGTGAGATGCCGGAGACCAATTCCAGCATGACAGCAGGCCTGAATCTGGGAATGGCTGATTGCATTTCCCCAAACCTGAATAGGATGCATTAAACTGATTGTTTGCTGCCACACAGCTTGGGGCATTTTAATCTACATGTTATTGCCTCCTACTGGCCAAACACCTGAATAGCCATAGGCTAATTCTCCCCATTCTGACAATGCCTCTGTATGAAACCCTGACCCTTTGAAGTGTATATTTCTGCCTCGCCTCAGGACAATTTGTATTAATAAAAAGCATGGGTTCCAGAGATGAGGAGATCTTAAGTTTCCTTTAAACTAGGTTCCTCTGACCCCCAAATGCCTTTCAAAATTATGCTTTGTCTCTGGACTCCTATTTAATCAGCCTTCTCCAGATTTCCTGAACCCTTCTTAATGCTGGAACAAGAACCCCGGCAATTTTGTATTTTTCAATGCTTATTAAGAATAAAAAAGTGTTGTTTAACCCTTTGCGGTCGTATTAAATTTGGACATGGGTGTCGTAATGGTCGGAATTAATTTCCATTGAAAGAGCAGTGATACATAACATGTAAGATTATGAAGGATAAACAAGATTTATTAATTCTTTTCTGGAACTACGTCACTGCTAGTAGAATCACTACAAACGTTATCACTTTCTACGTCAGAGTCAGTAGTCAAGGTGCCAAAATAAAACTCTTCATTGTTACTTTCAGATTCGCAGTACACTTCTTTCGGTAACTTTCTTTTTGCCATTTTGGAGTATTGTTTTGAAATATCTTAACAAGCGAGAATGCCTAATTACAGTTAAACGTAACTTGTAAAGCTTTATTTGAAATTCTGTGAAGTATCGCCGAAGCTTGTCGATTTCTTCACTCTCAAAAGGCGACTGACTCGCCACGGTGTTTTGCATGGCGAGTGTGGAACGACCACGTTTGTTTATATTGAGTTTCGATATCTCCGATTTGTCGGGGCAATGTTTTGGTTCGTGACAAGGTCGCTTAGACACTTAAGAGCTTTCAGAGAAATGATGAACTGATACATGAATGAATAGAGTTAAGATTCGTACGGTTCCTTGCTGTGGTGGCTGAGAGCAGACATACGACCGGAACGGTAAAAAAGCTTTGGTGGCTGAGAGTAGACAAACGACCACAAAGGGTTAAAACACACACACACCCCTCTACACACAATAGACAGACTCGAATCAGGTGACTGGAGGATCACGCGGGATCTCACCCGCTGTTCTGACCTGCTCCCAGGTCTCAGGTCTCGGAATACAACCCCCTTCTCTCAGGCACCCACTGTCACCTACACGCACAGCAAACTTCCTCCCCGGTGAGGCTGCATCTTGTGACTCACAGTGAATTATCAATTAGCAAGAGCTGACGGCAGGAGGTGTGATCACGGCGATTTTATTTCTATATTTGTACTTTTTTCTTAAAAATTTGTTATTGGTTTCAGAGAGGAAGGGAGAGCTAGAACATCAATGATGAGGAGAGTCATTGAGCAGCAGCCCCTGCATGCCTCCTACTGAGGATTGAGTCCGCAACCTGGACATGTGCCCTGACTGGGAATCAAACCATGACCTCCTGGTTCATAGGTCGACACTTAACCACTGAGCAACACCAGCCGGGCTGTATTCTTTTCTAAATTTCCAAAATGTCTATTGTCGATACTGAGTTTATATTATTTAAAAAAGGAAGAAAACTTTCAAATGGATATTCTAGCCAATAAGGGGTAATACACTTACCTTCTTGCCTGAAGCAGTAAAAAAAGAAAAACAGACAAAATATAAGAAATAATGACTCTCAAGATACCACGCAGTAGGCAACAGAGACACCTGAGAGACAAGGTGAGCTCCTAACTCCCAGCCAGAAACAAGACAAGAATTGCCCCCTCCACACTGTGCCGGGAGCGCTAGCTAGGGAAACCGGGCAGGACTGAGAAACGAAAAGAAAGCACAACTCTCTCTCTTTATAGATGACATGATCCTATACTAAACCCCTAAAGAATCTGCAATAAAGAAATTTAGCAAAGCTACAGGATGTAAAGTCAATACACTAAAACCAACTGCATCCCTATACACTAGCAATGAACAATACGAAAATGAAATTCAGAAAAGAATTCCAATTACAGTAGCATCAAAAAGGAAGGCCGATCGGTGTGGCTCAGTGGTTGAGTGTTGACCTATGAACCAGGAGGTCACGGTTTGAGTCCTGGTCAGAGCACATGCCCAGGTTGCAGGCTCAGTCCCCGGTGGGGAGTGTCAGGAGGCAGTCAATCAATGATTCTCTCTTATCATTGATGTTTCTATCTCTCCCTCTCCCTTCCTCTCTAGGAAATCAATAAAAAAATATGTATATTAAAAAAAGGAGATATGGGAGCAACCTAGGTGTCCATCAATAGACAGAAATGGATAAAGAAGAGGTTGTACGGAATATGACTCAGCCATAAAAGAATGAAATCTTATTTGTAACATGGATGGACTGGTTCTGAGCCACAAAAGAAGTCTCGACAAATTTAAAGTATTTCTATCTGTTTTATCCTGAATATACTAGTAAACCTGTGTGTGTGTGTGTGTGTGTGTGTGTGTGTGTGTGTGTGTGTGTGTTGGGGGAGGGGGGGGGGAGGCGGATGGGGAGACAGGAGGGACCAGCCCACAAGGAAGCACTGGGAAATGTGTCACAACGGCCTGCGGCTCCACTGGGGCAGCCCAACATGATCAAGCGACGTCCTCATCCACAACGCCCAAACGCCTTTTCTCCCAGGGTCTGCTGGGAGCCTGTGCTGGGCCAGGCAGGAAACGCAGAGCTTTCGGAGTCACGTGTGAAAGCGACCCAGACAACAGAGCGTGAGGAAATGAGAAAATGTCTGTCAGGTGCTGCACTCCCGAGAGCCGAGATCCAGGGAACCGTGAAACTGCTCCACGGCGTCCACGGTGCACGCCGGGAGTGGCTCGCCAGGCCCTCACGGAGGAGGCGCTCGAGAACGGAAGGAAGGGCTCGTCGTTAGCCCCTCTCCTACCGTGTGAGTCCGGGACAGCGGTAAGCAGACAGCGGCCCGGACGAGGCGGCCGCTGTGACCTCAGGCGCCTCACCTTGTGGGCCGCAAAGCTCGCTCCGTTCTTCTCCAGCGCCCGCTTCGCGTACTCCAGCGCCTCGTACACCAGGGCCTTTTTCTCCTCCGCTGAGGTGCCGCTCAGCTGAGCCAGGTCCCGGGATGCCCGCGCCAGACGCCACAGCAACTCGGCATCGTCACTAATTTGAAGTAAATAGAAAACCACCATTTTATTGATTTTAGAGAGAAACATCGATGACCTCCTGTATGCACCCCAACTGGGGACCAAACCACAACCTAGCTATGTGCCCTGACTTGGGACTCGAACCCGTGACCTTTTGGAGTTTGGGACAATGCTCCAACAAACCGAGCCACTCGGCCTGGATAAAACCACCATTTCAGCTCGCATTTTGAAAACCGTCAAAGGTCACATCACTAAGGCATACACTGGTCTTCCAGTTCAGTGAGGGTACAGCCAGCAACACAATATCAAATGCCGTTATTCATAACATTCCTTTTGTTATTCTCTCACATGACTTTATTTGCTACAATTTCCTACAAAATACCCAGTATCACACATAGATATTTACTTACCTTAATATCTAATTACACACCTTCCTTCGAACACCTGCCCATGAAGCGCAGCCTGTAACCAGGGCTGGACTGCGAGCCAGTGCTCACAGCACAGCAGGCACGGCGGCCTGACACACAGCGTCTGGTCACGGCACAGCCTGCTGAGCCCGCCCCACGGTCCCTCCGCAATAGGCACCGAAACGTGCATGTCAACGAATGACTGAGGACAACGTAACCTCCAAATGCACCGTGTCTGAACCATGGGGAGTGGCATTTCTCAAGTAAGGGCACTCAACTCCTTGAAGAACGGCCACTTACACAGAATGATGTAAATTAAGAAATGGTTAATAAACAAAAGAGTAACCACAATTAAGAGGCAGAAATAGTTTTAAGTAACCTTAAATTCCTTTTTATTAAATGTCTACCTTTAAGTCTACTGTTATATACAGCATGGGGCAAAAGTAAGTTTACAGTTGTTTATGTGGCAAATAATATAATAATTATGAGATAATATAAGAATAAACTTTGTTACCTACTTTTGCCCCACCTCTGTGGGGTTTTTTGGTTAATCCTCGCCCAATAATATTTTTTCCATTGATTTAGACAGAGTAGAAGGGAGGGGGAGAAACAAAGAGAGAGAGAAAACATCACTGTGAGAGAGACACATCGACTGGCTGCCTCCCACACACGCCCCAACCAGGGCCGAGGATTGAGCCTACAACCGAGGTACATGCCCCCGACAAGAATCAAACCTATGACCCTTCAGTCTGCGAGCCGACCCTCTAAACCAGTGGTTCTCAACCTGTGGGTCGCGACCCCTTTGGCAGTCGAACGCCAAAGACCATCCTGTATATCAGATATTTACATTACGATTCATAACAGTAGCAACATTACAGTTATGAAGTAGCAACGAAAATAATTTTATGGTTGGGTCACATGAGGAACTGTATTTAAAGGGCCAGAAGGTTGAAAACCACTGCTAAACGCTGAGCCAAACTGGCTAGTGTTATTTCTTCTTTAAATATATATATATATATATATAATTTTTTATTTTTAGAGAGAGAGGGAGAGAGAGAAACACTGATATGAGAGCAGAACATGGAGGAGCTGCCTCCTATCAGGGATCAAGCCCAAAACCCAGGCATGTGCCCTGACTCTGAATCAAACCCACAACTTTTTGGTGCAAAGGACGACGGCCAACTGAGCCACACCAGCCAGGGCCCACCCTGTATTTGTTAACAAAAATGGTACTAATAGAATTTTAGACTGCAGAAAGCAATAGCATATTTATAACTCAATGACTATGGAGTAACACCTAACAGCTTACTTTTCAAGTAATTACTGAAGTCAGTGTACAATGCAAACCAGTCACCTTAAGTTACTGAGGGGACCGTGGAAGGAGACAGGTCCTGTAGATACTTAGGAAGTAGAAGGATCGGGGTCTTGGGAATCCAAGACAAGCAGTAGAAAATGACTCTATCTTTAGTTAAGGATGTGAGGTTGATCAATGACCTGGAAATACCCTGACTTACTTTATAGTCTGAATCCACTCCACCTCTATCTGCCCCCCAAAAAGTATACACTGAAACTCTGGACTAAACATGTACTGTGTTTTTTATTTTATTTTTAAAAATTGATTTGAGAGAGAGAGAAACATCGATCGTTGCCCCTGTCACTCCTCCACCAGGAACTGAACCAGCAGTCTGGGTATGTGCCCTGACCAGGAAATCCAACAGGGGACATTTGGTGCCTGGGACAACCAACTGTGCCACACGGGCCAGGACAGGCACTCTATTTTTTAAAAAGGAGGTATTTTTAGTTTCTCTAAAAAACCGTGCTTCCAAAATGACACACAGATACTGTCCAGTGGAGACACGCAACTATCCCAATTCACTTAAATCTTATACCAGACACTAATTTCAAGAAATGATAAATATACAATAGAGATGACAAACATATATTCAGCAACTTACCTTTATGATCCAAAACAAAATCACAAAATGGACAAAGTATTTCAAATTTGTACTAGAATAAGTTGGACAACCTTTTCTAAATCAAAATGTAGCATTTTGGAATCATTTAATGTCAGAAAGAAAGAGCTATACGTGAAACTCTAAGAAGTGCTGTTTTGAATAGAAACCTTTAGGAACTATGAAACCTTCTGGCACCAGGACTCAGGCCGAGTGTGAATGTACACGACAATGGAGAGGAAGCCGCAGCCCAGGCCCCGCTGCTCACCTGTCCTTGTGCTGGGTCAGCAACTGGTAGAGTCTCTCTGTCTCCCCGCTTTCGTAGAGGTAGTCTGCTTGTTGGAGGATTTCTTCAACTCGGAAGCCTATGAATAAACAGGAAGTAGGTCTTCCAAGCCACATGGCAACGATTCTAAGCGGCACTTTCATATACAAGCAAAGAAAATTAGAAAGACTCTGATATATCTCAATGTGTAAGCATGAAGCTATCGTAGGGATTTACTTAAACCATGGAAAAAATATTAGAAAGCTTGTTCTGCTACTAAATATGATGCTACTAAATATAATATTTTTAAAAAGGAGAAAGGGACCTCCTGTGAGGTGTTAAGGTGCCTCCTCACCCTCCAGTCTTCACTATTCTGCTGCTAAGTGCCAGCTGTGAACCAAGACAGAACAAACAGCCACATTAACCACCTGCGGGCTGATCCACTAGATCCTCTTTACGACCTGACTCACACAGACACGTTACAGGGAAAAAAGGCAAATGTGTCGTCATCAAAAACTTAGGTGAAATTGACAACAGAGAACCTGAACCATACTTCACTGATCCGTGCTCCGACCACTCATCGACTGGTCTAGACACCCTTGCCAACCCCTAACCCTTACCCACAGTGCAACGCTCTGAAGGTGACTAGTGATGAACTCAGGATCCCCCAGTGTTACTAGGAACAGACCCTGAATCTTGTCTTCTGTCAGGGTGCTTACTACTCAGTCCTATGAGCCCCACATTCTAATGTGTCCAGTTCACTTTATTATTCATTTTGGATTGCTCTGACTAATCACAGTGCATCGCAGGTTAGAGTTTTTGAAATACTAAAACCTAGATCAGTGGTCGGCAAACTGCAGCTCGTGAGGCACATGCGGCTCTTTGGCCCCTTGAATGTGGCTCTTCCACAAAATACCGACTTCTGCGCATGGGCCACGAAGTTTCAATCGCACTGTACGTGCGCGCCCGCATGTGCTATTTTGTGGTATTTTGTGGAAGAGCCACACTCAAGGGGCCAGAGCCGCATGTGGCTCGCGAGCTGCAGTTTGCCAACCACGGACCTAGATCATCAAAAAAGGGAAAAAACTCATGAATTTATGACACAACCATAAAGTATTTTTTAAATTAACATCATGATCTAATCATACTAGTGTAAGAAAAATAAAATAACAGCAAAAAAAACCTAAAATTATAGTGTTTTTTAAAATTTCTTCTTTAATCCTTAAATCTATGCTAGAGTTTAATAATATTCATCTGGTTAACAGCTGATTAATTTTCTTAAGTTTGCTTCCATTGTATTCTATTATTTTTATCAATGGCTGATTCTTCCAATTTGGATTAGAACAACCCAAAATTCTTTAAAAAGGAGTAAGCAGCAGCCTCGGCTCCCTTAGTTGGTACTGGTGGTAGAACAGGCCCCCATCAGGTCCACATCCCGATCCCTGGAACCTGTGAAAAGGTGGCACTCACGGGTAAAGGGGAGTTAAGTGTACAGATGGATTAAGGCTGCTAATCAGCTAACTTCAAAATAGGAAACCATCTTGGATCTGGGTGGGCCCAAGATCATCACAGGCCGTCAGACGGCGCTGAGGGGGGCAGAAGAGTCAGGAGGTCTGACCATGGAGACAGGCCCGGGACAGGGCTGGGCTGGAGCCAGGGTGGGCTCTCAGACAGGAGTGTGGAGGAAGCCTCTGAGCGGAGGAGCCAGGAGCACTTTCCCTCGAGCCTCCAGAGAACGCAGCCCTGCCCATCCCTGCCGTGAACCCAGCGGGGCCCACTTCGGACTTCTGACCTATGAACTGGAAGGTAGTGCATCTGTGTTGTTTGGAGTCACTGAGTGTGTGGAAACGTGGTGCAGTGGTAACAGAAACCACATGATATCAAGTACACTGGTCTGGCAGGTCTGAGTGTGCCCATGGCATGTGTGAGCAGCAGTTACACTCAATCCTACTCACACTCATGGAAGCCCTCCCACTCCCCAAGGACCCTGGCAGAGACCACTGTTCCTAACATGACCCAGACTCCACGGTCACCACCTAGGCGATTAGAAGAAACATGTAGAAATCTAGTGAACAATGTAAAATATTTAGCTTCTTTGTGCTTGTTATTCTTCTGTAACTTCTTAAGTCACTTACCTCCAGTTCCTTTACTCTACAGCACAGCACATGCACTACATGTCCCGGCTCAAATATGCTTTCCCTGACGCTAACAGCAGCTCTGAAGCCACCAGGGTGTGGTTTGTAAGGAAAGGGGCACTTCCTCTGACACTGCAGACCCCAGCACTGGGTGGGGCATGCAGACACGCACACCTCTGCAAATCGGCTGTAAGTTACTCATTTCGTGCTCTGCACTTCCCCTGAAAACAGTTAAAAAATAAGCTATGTTACTGACAAAGAGACCATCCTCTATAAAAGGGACTCAACTTTTAAAGTAAGTTACTTTTCAACTTCAGTAAGCAATACATATTCCAAGATGAACAGAGGTATTCATTTACCTACAACTGTACAGTGAAATTTTACATTTAGCCTAAAATGAATATTCGCAGAATCATAATTCTTGAATATTTGAATATGTAAGTCAATGACGTGACTGCATGTGTGTGGTGGTCAACTCTGGTGTGCTGGTTCTCGTGCTGAGCGCGCCCTGGAGCGTGTCAGAGGCCCCTGGACAGGGATGGAGCCCCCTCTAAGCTGGGAGCAGCTCTGTTTCTGAAGTTTCTCTGTGGAGGGCTTAGGAAGCGCTGAAGGGTCATCAGTAGAGAAGCAAGATAAGTGGAGAGAGGCTGAAGTGCTCAGCAGGCCGTTGAGGGGAGGCCCTTTCAAGCGCACGCACGCACGCACGCACGCACACACGCGCGCACGCGCGCACACACACACATGCAGTCACATCATTGACTTAAAAATTTCAAATATTCAAGAATTATGATTCTGCGCATATTCAAGAATTATGAGCACTGCACATGTGCTACACACCGGGAGGGGCTTTAGGGTCTGTCCACTTGACGTCAATAAAAAACTTTCTCCTGGAGTGCTTCGTCAGTAGGTATCTGGCACAACTGTGTGGTCAATAGAGACGTTGCCATTAAACAATGAGTCCCATAACCCTCTCCACTGGAATGCCAGAGCATACACGCCCTTAGATTAACTTCTAAAAATGTCGCACTGCAAAAAAGTCTCCCTGCAGAACGCAATTCAATTCCAGTAAATGAAGAAAAATTTAACTGGTTTCAATGAGCATGAAGCAGATCTAAAGAGAATTAAACAAAAGCTTTCATGAGTGGAATTATTTGAAGACTAATTTCAAAAAATATGAAAAATAAGAACCACAGCACAGCAAAGCGAAAGGAGAGGACCAGGGACGGTTTTCCAAGTTACAAAAACATGGCTCATTTTATCAACAACTGATGTCTTCTCAGGGGCTACATCCTAGTTTCAGAAACAAATTACATGAACATGCCAATCAACTGATTATAAAGGGAGGTTTTGTTTAAGAAAACAAAGCTAGAGAAAATGAAGGGAGGCTAAATACACATCCACATTCTGTTCTCCGCACTAACTGTCAAGTGCTCTAAATACACCTGAAAATAGAGTAAGGTTCTAAAACACAGGAAGGTTTCATTACAATCCGCAATAAAAACAATGAATTCCGTTTTCAGAACAAATTACACCTGGAATATTAAAATGCTGCTTTTTCCAGGTTTGATCTGTTGCTAGGACTGGCACTGCGTCTAGAGTTATTTCGCATCTGTGCACGTCTACTTTCACACGGCCGAGCAAGTGGCACTCCTGACCAGCTCATCCATGCAGAGGTGGGAGCCAGCCAAAACGAAAGAACCAGCATGTGCTGGGTAAAAGGGTCCGGATTCCTGTAACTTAACACACATCCACCACACACACTGGGGGCCAAAGGACAGCTACGCGCACAGCAGGCCAGCACTGCACGTCACGAGTCCCAGCGCGTCTTGGCACAGTCGCTCAGGAGCTGTGGAAAGTAGGTCCGTCCTGGTGCTGAGTAGACACGCTGGAGAGCTCAGGCGTGCTACCCCATTTCCGTTTCCAACTCGCATGAATTCAAGTTCAGTCAAATGCTTGGTGTATAACCCTGTACTACTGTCTCCTCAGTACGCTCAGAACAGTACGTTTAAATAACGTTAAATCTGAGCTCCTTCAGGATTTCCCCAGGTCTCTCTGCACTTTTTCAGAGAAGCCTCCAGGCCAGGGGTCAGCATCACCTTTCTGAGGTGGGGCCGAAGTACCATTCTTTCCCAGGACACTTACTCCCGGTGGAAGCCCCATGCACTCTCCTCCAATTCTTCACGATGCTTCCCGTCACTGAGCTGGAGAGGGGCCGGCAGCCCAGTTAGGGTGCCTTTCGTTTCCACCCCCCAGCCACAGGGAGCCACTTCTGGTGCACATGCCCACTCTCAGGAGCTCTCTCCTTTCCTTTACCGAGTTCAGATCCTTCAGAGGGACGCCAGCAACGTTTTTGCCTTTGCACACCGTGCTCTGCGTGCCACAACCCCCTCCACTGGATCGTGCCCTCCATGGATCCGTTCACGACAGATGTCAAGTGGATGCCAAGCCACTGCCAATAAGAAACGGACACGGGAAGTGTCCAGATTCACCACTTACAGTGACACACACTTTGGGAAACCCCCAGGCGACACGCACGGAAATATCCTGGGATGGAAACAACGCCCAGTCTGCAGCAGGGATGGCACTGAGAGTCATTATTTAAAGATGGACACGTTGTGCCTGACAGCATCAGGCACGTTTCCCCTCCTCTGGGGCATGTGTCTGCAGCCAAGATCTCCAGACTGGAGTCTGCAGGGACAAGGTCACCTCCGCTGGAAACAGGCAAAGGCTGTCTGGCTGAACACCTGCCGCGGCACCGTAACCCAGCGGTCGCCAACCTTTCGGACCTCACGGACCCCAGTGGTCCGGACCACCGGTTGGCGACCAATGGCGTCATCAATATCACAAAGCCAAGTGCACCGCTCAAGCACTTCGTAAGGTGCTGAGGACCAGGCCAGGCCGCACGACCCGGTTCCTGCAATGGAGAGCTCACTGCGGTGAATGGTCTCCTCTGAAGGGAATGCCTCCTCAGCTCACATCTGCCACCTGCCATTAGGTTGGGTGTTGCCTACAGGGACAGGGAGCCACCAAGGGTGGGCACCCCCAGCTGGTCCACAGGAGTCCTGGGGTCCCACTCCCCAAGCTCACTCAAGAAGTGGGGTAGCCCTAGCCAGTTTGGCTCAGTGAATAGAGCATCAGCCTGCAGACTGAAGGGTCCAGGGTTTGATTTCGGTCAAGGGCATATGCCTGGGTTCAGGTTCGATCCCCAGTAGGGGGCATGTAGGAGGCAGCTGATCAATGGTCCTCTCTCATCATTGATGTTTCTATCTCTCTCTCCCTCCCTCTACCTTCCACTTTCTCTAGAAATCAATGGAAATATCGTCGAATGAGGAATAACAAAAAAATAAATAAATAAAAGCTGATTTGTTCTATTTGCCAAAATATGTCATTGAGCCAGAGACAAAACCAAGTCCTCTACTTTGTCCTTCATGAAAATGGAGGACAGAAAAGATAAAAAATACACAGAAGTTCTCAATTACCTGCTTTTTAAATAGTCACAGGTAAATAAAACCACTAACTAGTAATTTTTAGCTAATATTCTGAAATTCTTTACATATCGGAACTTTAGTAAGAATGTCTATTCAAATCAAATCTCTGCTTCTTTCCCCACCTCCTTCGTAATGATTAAATAGTGGGGCTGTGAAAAAAGGCTTAACCCATCAATTAAGAGTTTTTCTAACATGCTGAAATTTTGGCTCTGTCTACATACATACACAACTTAACTAAATTTTTAAAATATGGCAACTCTAAATATGTTTATTTAGGTACAGTATGCCAAATAAGAAATTTGATGTAATTTTTCTACTTTTCAACCAGTTATTTGATATTTAATATCAAATTGCATTCTGTTTATAAACTAAATACTTCCATCTCAAAGTAACTGGGCCCTTGGTAACTGTGCCAGGAGGAGTGCGCCACGTCGGCATAAGGGAACGAACGAATCACTGCGCTGCTATGAGCAGGGACTGCCACCACCTTCTCTCCCGGCCCAGAGTCAGCGCGGTCAGCGTGTGGCTCAGATGGTCTCTGTGGGATATTCTCTTTTCACTCCACAACACCTCAGTCCTTTAAAAATGTATCAAACACTCTTACCCCAAGGATCCTACAGAATTATAACATATTAATAGGATATTTCTCACGGAAGGAGCTATAGTTATTAGAAGAATATATGTCAGACCTACATGTAGAGGAAAGCAGAAAATAATCTAGCCTATAATAATATTAGTTTCAATATCTACTAAAAAATAACTAAGTTATTAACCCAAAACGACACACATAAATCAGTAAGTGTTCCTGATGACTAGCTGGCTTACCTTTGGCTGCGGCATGAACCACAGCAGCTGGAGAAAGGAGCTGATAAGTTTCAAATCCCAAGTAAGACCAGGCTGAGAGCATAAGGCTTCTTCTGAAAGCTCCTGGGTTTCCCCTCACCTGTGGAAACATCAAACAGAACATCTGAAAGATTCCATCCCTCTTCTTCAACCCCAAAGCGACCAATCCTAAGATAGTGGAAGCTTCAAATTCACCTCATCAAATTCCTCAGTGAAACGACTGCACATTCCTGCTTTACAGGGAGAGCATATACCATTAAGAAAAGGAAAATTTGTAACAACTGCTAAGGGTGGCAGCTTATCTAAAACTCAGTCATGTTCACTGACAAGTGCTAGACTGAGGAGGAAATTCTACCGCTATGGCTCAATACACGAAACACCAACATATAACTGCCAGTCCTTTTTAAAAACTAATTCTTCTTTTTTACTGATTTCAGAGAGAGGAAATGAGAGAGAGAGAGAGAGAGAGAGAGAGAGAGAGAGAGAGAGAGAGAGAAACGTCAGTTTGTTGTTCCACTTGTTTATACATTCATTGGTTGATTCTTGCATGTGCCCTGACCGGGGATTGAACCCACAACCTTGGTGTATCAGAACTGCTCTAACCAGCTAAGCAACTCGGCCAGGGCAATCATAACAGTCTTAAGACCACACAAGATGAAAAATATTATCTACTACAGCCTGGTGCATGGAAATTCATGCACTGGAGGGGGGTCCCTCAGTCCAGCCTGCCCCCTCTCACAGTCCAGGAGCCCTCAGGGGTGGGAAGCTACTCGGTGATCAGGGGAAGGTGACGCCCCATCACACCTCTGCTGCTGCCACTACCAGCAGCGCAAGCCTCGCCGGCCATGGTTACCTGAACCTTGGGCGGCCCTGGGCGGCTGGGGGGCTGAGGGGACTGGGGGACTCTGGAGGCAGCGTGAGGGTCAATTAGTATAGTCCCTCCTTATTAGATAGGATGATAATTACTTTGCATAAAGGTGTGAATGGCTTTAAGTAAAGATTCTTCAAAAGTGACCCCCAGCCCTGGCCAGTGCAACACAGCTGGGTGAGCACCTCCTGTGCACAAAGGATCCGGTTCAGTTCCTGGTCAGGGTACAATCCCTGGTTGGGGTGTGCCCAGCTGATTACTTTCTCTCTCTCTCGCCCTTCCCCCCTCTCTCTCTCTTTCTCTCTCTCTCACCCTTCCCCCCCCCTCTCTCTCTTTCTCTCTCTCTCTCTCTCTCTCTCTCTCTCTCGCCCTTCCTCTCTCTCTAAAATCAATAAAAACATATTAAAAAAAATAAAACAGTGGCATGTCATTAAAAAAAAGTGATCCACAAACCCACAGTTTTCAGTAAACAATGAATAAAATGAAGAGTATATCCAAGATATACTAACGACTTTTCATAACTCTGGCCAGAACCCCCAGGACCCCCAAGAAAGGAGGCATGTGTGGGTCTCCCCGCCCCCATGGAAGTGCGCACCACCACCTCCCTTCCTGCTGGCTCAGTCCATCCTATGCAACAAGCCCTGCCCCCTTCGTGAGCTGGGAGTTCCCTCGCCTTAGGGCAAAGCTCACACTGCTCCCTCCTGACTTCACCTCTTCCTGGTCTCACTTTCCAACTTCTCTTTTCAAGACTCCAAAATGCCGTCTGCACTCTTACCCCTCCACCTCCTCCTCCCATTCTCTCGAGCTCACACACACCCACCTGTACCCCACACTCCACTGCCTGTGGCCATCCTCGTCTCCTCTGACTGGACCCAGCAACAGCATTTCACAGCAGCTCCCTCCCTCCCGGTTTTTTCTTAAATCATGAATGGATGCTAGATTTTTTAAAACGAGATATGTGACATACAATAAACAGACCATACATACGTGTATCATTGAAGACACTTAACAAGCCTGTAAAACCGTCACATCAGTCACGACAATGAACTGCCTCTCTGGAACCACCCAGCCTGGTTCCTGACGCCCCTCCATGGCTTTGGAAATGCTCTCTTGAATTCCCTCCTGTTGCAACAATGGCTCCTTCTCTTTTGTTGGTTCCTCATCTCCAATACCCACCGCCCAATGTGTCCTGAGCTCAGCCTCAGGCCTCCTTTTGTTTGTATCACTGGTATCACACTTCGTTTCATGACTTTAACCACCACCAACATGCCAAAAACCCCCTGTGACCGAGCCAGGATGTCTCCTGTAAACCTCAGAATCCTAAATGCAGCTGCCTAATCCACACCGCTCTCCACCTGAAGGGTGACAGGAACCTCGCGTCCATCAGCCATGGCAGCTACGGTCCCTAAAACCACTCCCCCGCTTTCCCTTTCATGGTAAATGACAACCGATTCTCCTGGTTGCGCAGCTTAACAAAACACACACACACACCCTGCAGTGGTTCCGCCTCGCTCTCTCCCTGACGCACCTGATCCACAGAACTTCTCCTGAGTGTCTGCGTGGGAATGAGGAACCAGCACACTGCAGCTGCGGGGCGCTTTATTTACTTGCTTGCGCATGAGTATTTGGGACATCACGCAACTGGATTCAAAACACATCAACAACACTCTAGCCGGTTTGGCTCAGTGGTTATAGTATCAGCCCACAGACTGCAGGGTCAAGGGTTCGATTCCAGTCAAGGGCACGTACCTCAGTTGCAGGCTCAATCCAGGCACATGCGGGAGGCAACCAATGGATGTCTCTAACATTGATGTTTCTGTTGCTATCCCTCCCTTCCACTCTCTCTAAAAAGCAATGGAAAAAATATCCTCAGGTGAGGATTAACAAAACAAACACACACATCAGCAGCAAAGCAGGAAAAGTAAATTTGATGTAAGCAAATTTTTAACACTGAATTTTCTGGGTTTATTTGTATTTAACAAAGGGAAGCAAGATGGGGTGGGGCAGAGGGTGTGTGTAAGTGTGTGTGTGTGTGTGTGTGTGTGTGTGTGTGTGTGGTGATGGTGGTACCTAGAAAAAGAAGAGGAAAAAGACTAAGATTTTATCAGTGTCTCCTAGTTCCCAAGCTCTGGCAGGTAGATCACATAGCAGAAAAGGCTGCACAGACTTGAGGAAACTATACCTTATGGTGCTGGGCTCCCTGCTGACATCATGCTCAATAGGCCACCCTCTGGCTTTCTCATAGGGAGAAATGCATGGATGGGCAGCTGATATTTACACGTCTTATTGTAGTTAATGCTGTTAGACTCTTCCCTGTGTGTTTAATGCAAAGCACCTTTCTGCTTATCTCTGGGAAAGTAGATACAATCTTGTTTCTGGAACTAAAATCAATTAAGAGAATCAGGACTCAGTGACATTCCAAGAGCTAAAAACGTATGAGTCTAAGACAGCAGAGTGCGGCTTTCCCCTCATACCCCAGCACAATGCCTTGCACAAATGAATTCTCAAGAAACATTTTCTGAATAGAAGCAAGAAGCTATCTCTTAGACAAGTGTTTCCTCCAACATTACTTACACTAACTTCTAGCTATAAAGACTTCAAAAATGCAAACTCATCACTAGATTACAAAGCAGGAAGGCGGCACACCATCTCCTAACCTCCCGCCAGCTCCTCCCCCTCATCAATGTTGGCTGGTACCAGGCCTTCTTCGGTCTTACATACCATGGCATTACTACTAAAGTCTCCCGAATCTTATCTGCAGCCCAGACCTGTCCAACTACTGTCTACTCCATGTCACCCTGGCCACCTCATCACACTCACCTTAAAAGCCCAAACATAACTCATCTCCTCCCTGGGCCAGAGCGCCTTCTGCAGTCTGATCCCAGGAATCGGCACCATCACCCCGTGCTCGAGCCAGAAACCTAAGACTCTTCCTTGGCCCCTTCCCTCCACCCCCACACACCAAACCTATCTTTGGAGTTCGTATGTTTACCTCCGCAACCGCCTCCCAGTGCATCCACTGAATTCCCGGGCCACTGCCACCCCAAGAGCTCAAAGGACCACACCGCTCACCTGTCCATCACACCGCTCACCTGTCCCACCGCACCGCTCACCTGTCCCACCGCACCGCTCACCTGTCCCACCGCACCGCTCACCTGTCCCATCAGACCGCTCACCTGTCCCACCGCACCGCTCACCTGTCCCACCGCACCGCTCACCTGTCCCACCGCACCGCTCACCTGTCCCACCGCACCGCTCACCTGTCCCACCGCACGCTCCCTGTCCCACCGCACCGCTCACCTGTCCCATCAGACCGCTCACCTGTCCATCACACCGCTCACCTGTCCCACCACACCGCTCACCTGTCCCATCAGACCGCTCACCTGTCCCACCGCACCGCTCACCTGTCCCACCGCACCGTTCACCTGTCCATCGCACCGCTCACCTGTCCCACCGCACCGCTCACCTGTCCCACCGCACCGCTCACCTGTCCATCGCACCGCTCACCTGTCCCATCAGACCGCTCACCTGTCCCACCGCACCGCTCACCTGTCCCACCGCACCGCTCACCTGTCCCACCGCACCGCTCACCTGTCCCATCAGACCGCTCACCTGTCCCACCGCACCGCTCACCTGTCCCACCGCACCGCTCACCTGTCCCACCGCACCGCTCACCTGTCCCACCGCACCGCTCACCTGTCCCATCAGACCGCTCACCTGTCCCATCAGACCGCTCACCTGTCCCACCGCACCGCTCACCTGTCCCATCAGACCGCTCACCTGTCCCACCGCACCGCTCACCTGTCCCACCGCACCGCTCACCTGTCCCACCGCACCGCTCACCTGTCCCACCACACTGCTCACCTGTCCCACAGCAACGATCTCCTACCTGGTCTCCAGCACCCACTAGCCCATCTGATTTTAAAAATGTTCAAAACTCTCCCATGGTTTCCTAAAGCCTCAGAATAAAATCAGGTGTACAAGGTTTTCAGAACCTGGCTGTGGTCAGCGACCGCCACAGTGGCCCAACAGGTTCCCATACAAGAGAGCAATGGAGGAGGATCCTGAACATACCTCCTCCCACAGACACACCAAGTCTACACTACAGACCAAATTTCCTCTGAAAGAAACCAAAATCTAGGCAAGTGCGGAAAAAAAACCATATTGAGACAGATGGGGGAGGCTGAGATAGTCTTCCCATAACCCCAGCCTTGACACCCAACCTTCTCCCCGAGCAGCAAAGGGTTTGAACCCCACACCGGGCACCACACTTTTAGACCCACAACTGAGAGACAAGCCCCCAAAACATCTTGCTTATTAAGCCAATGAGGCTTGCAGCCACGAGACCCACAAGGCCATAGCAAACTGAGAAACCGTTCTTAGATCTTCCCAGTCTGGCCGGCTAGCTCAGTTAGAGCGTCGTCCCTATACACCAGGGTTGTGGGTTTGATCCCTGGTCAAGGCACTAAACAAGAACCAATCAATGAATGCATAAATAAGTGGAACAACAAACCGATGCTTCTCTCTCTCTCTCTTTCAAGGAAAAAAAAAAGACTTTCGAAGGCTCATCCACCCCGGAGCCCAGTGCAGAGGCAGCGACTGAAAAGGGCCTGAAAGAGGCTTATTTGCTTCGCTTAGAACTCAGCCCAAAGGGCAGGCATCTAATTTAGCACACGACGAGGGGCCAACACTGACCCTCTCCAGGCACGATCACTGGCTCTCCTCCCTCTGCCGGGCTCCATGTCACTAGTATCACGTCTGGTGCCACAGTTTTTGCAGCTGCTGCCCAGGGGACACCTCTTGATCTGGTTCTGGTGGCCAACAAGACCTATGTTCATGGTTCCCAAGGACCAATGGAACAGTCCTTCATCAGTTACCCCCCCCACCACCACCATCCCCCCCAGGAGGGCTCAGCACAGGGAAGCACAAGATGAGCCTTCAAATGAGACTCTGCAGCTGAGCAGCTGGATTGAACCTCAGGAGACCTTCGCTCCAAGCCCAGCCGCGCCGCGCCCGGACTCCTCCCCGGCAGAGACCACCTGCTGCAGTCTGTGATTTCTGTAGTCACAGATAACACTGCACGTGCTGACTTTTCGGCCTTGATTTCTTTCAGTTCACTGTCCCACTCCAGACTTCAGTCCCTTTCAGGTCCTTAACAAGACTCTTTCCTCTTACCTCAAGGCCTAGCTCATGCTCTCTCTCCTGAAATACTGTTGTCCTCACCTTCCCTTCGCCTGGCTAACCCCTAATCCTCTGTAGCTCCCATCTCTCACTGCTCACACCTTCCCCTTCCTCCCTTCACGATTAACTTTGCTGCCCTTTTCCCAATGCCCAACACCCACTACATTTACTCAACGGCCACCATTCCTGCTAACCTGTAAGATAAACGAGGTTTGTCTCATGTTCCCTATACCCTCAGCTTAGAACTGAGCCGTGCTTAAACAGTACAGATTTGTTGAAAATTTAATGTTCCAAAATGGGTGTTTTGTACTATAGATAGAAATAGAAGCCTTCGCTGGTTTGGCTCAGTGGATAGCGTGTCGGCCTGAGGACGGAAGGGTCCCGGGTTCGATTCCGGTTAAGGGCACATGCCTGCCTTGCGGGTTCGATCCCCAGTAGAGGGCGTGCAAGAAACAGCTAATCAATGATTCTCTCTCATCATTGATGTTTCTCTCCACTCTCCCTTCCTCTCTGAAATCAATAAAAAATATATTTAAAAATAGAAATTACTTATAGAAAAGACAAATAAAATGTCTTCTCAGCCCCTCAGAAGTAGCCTCCACTCTCTGCAAACTCCTGGGAAATAAATAGCTCCACTCAACTTACTGGCTTTATAATCAGAGAAAAACACTGTTAAAAACTGAAATTATAAAGGCTTGAAAACACATGCATACTGGAAAACTGGTCATCATAGAAAGTTCCAACTCCCTAAAAACCCAACAGACCAGGAGGGAAGGAAGAACTTTCATTACTGCCTTTGGCTTAGAGTGGATTTTACTACTAGCAGGTCCTGGAATAACGCAGTCGTCACAAGGCTGAGGAGAGGCAGCAGGAACTTAACCTTGTTTCTGTCCGTGAGCTTGCAGGGAACCGGTTTCTTACACAGGTGGGCTGCCGGTCATCAGGCTTCACCGGTGTTTTGATGTTAACAAACTGAAGGTGAGATCCTCCACCAGCAAAAAGACCAGGAGTTGCTTAGGGCGGCGGCCCGGAGCCCGGCGCTCTGCCCTGTCCCCCACGTTCAGTCCTGTGCTGTCCATCCTGGTCCTGATTCCCTGCCCTCTCGGTGCTGCTTCTCTAGCTTCGGCTTTTCAGCACGGTGGCTACAAGCAGCTCATGGGCTCTGGAGGCCCACCTGCCTCCAAACCCAACATCTTTCCAGCCGTGAGACGGGGACACCTTACTCAACCGCACTTTGGTTCCTCTTTTAAAAGAATGTTTTAATTTAGTTTTTTAGAGAGAGAGGAAGGGAGAGGGATGGCGAGATATAAACATCAGTGAGAAACATCACCATGGACTGCCTCCTGCACGCCCCCTTCTGGGGATGGAGCCCGCAACCCGGCAGGTGCCCTGACCGTGACCTCCTGGTCCATAGGTCGAGGCTCAACCACTGAGCACACTGGCTGACTCAGTTTCCTCTTTTCTTAAAAAATGGTTAGGTAATAGTTCTTACTCGCTCGGTAGGATGGGGATGAAGATTAGCGGAGGAAACCGTGAACGCAATGCATGCTTCACTCAGGTCAGCTCTCAGTCCTCCGGGATCCTAACGTCAACGCGCTGCCTCCATCACGGGCGGCTGGCGGTGCCACGCTCAGTGCCGTCCGCCCCGCGCACCGGCCCACCTGCTGCGAGCCCGTGGAGGCCGGGGTCGAGCCTTGTCCTCACACCACCCGCCCCGGTGGGGACCGCAGCAGCTGGTAAACCTGGAGGGCACGGGGCTAAGCGACCTCCGCAAAGGGGATCCGGGAGCGTAAAACAATAGCACTCCTAGTTCCCATGCCACCGCGGCTGCCCCCACCCCCAGGCCGCCTCCAGAAATAAACCGAGAAACGCCAGAACCGGCCACGCCAACATCCGCCCACACCGTCCTCAGCCTCATGCCGGTAAAACGCGCCGCTGCAGCCACTGGGACGCGGGCGGAGAGCGGGCTTGCAGAGCGGGGCCCTGCAGGCCGGGCGGCGCCTACCTCGGAGCCGCGGACTCGCCCCGGCCCGCCCGCGCCGCGGCCGCCCGCTGCGCCCGTCGGAGGCCGCGGTCCCGGGGCTGCGCCGCGTCTCGCGGGGAGAAAGCGGCAGAGGCGCGCGGCCAGCGCCATGACCTCCTGGGGACCTGACCCTCCGCCCACTTCCGGCTGGCTCTCCTTCCGGCGCACAAGTTCCGGCCACGGGCTGGTTCTCGGGCTTGTGAGCGGGGCGCGCCCGAGTGGGTGGGACTTAGCGCCTTCCGCGCCTGCGCAGTGGCACTGGGGCTCTGAGAATCCCTCCTGCCTCAGACTGGGCTGTGCCCTTGGTCCCTGGGTCTGTCGGGGGTTGGACACGGAGCGGGGTCATCAGAACAGAACTGGAAGGTCGGAAGACTCGAGACAGGGCTTGTCATTCCCAGCTCTGCTGCCCCCCACGGAGGCTCTGCTGCCCCCCACGGAGGCCCCCACGGTGCTGGGGTCCTGGACAGGCAAGTGCCCAGGGAATTAGAAAGAGCCAGGCCTGCAAGCCACTCCCTGGAGCTGGGGTGCTGGGTGACTCCTTCCCTGCAGACCCTTCACCGCAGAACCTCTGGTCCTGAGCCTTGTTCAGAGCCCACGCCTGCAAATGCAGGGCCTGTTACCTGGGGCGCAGGGAAACTTTATGGGCGAGGAGGCAAGACAGGCTTTAGAAATTAAGTTGCATTTATATAGTCCTTTTACTGCTCTGATCATAGTGAATGAACTCCTACTCTTATTTCACTTCATTCAACCCCCACCTGTCCTGGAAAGACTGGATCCATGGAGAAACCAAAATGGCGGCATAGGTAAACACCTGGAATTGCTGCCTCGCACAACCACTTCAAAAATACAAATAAAAGACAAAACGGACATCATCCAGAACCACAGGAAGGCTGGCTGAGTGGAAATTCTACAACTAGAAGGAAAGAGAAAAGCACACTGAGACTCAGAGGAGGTGCGGAAGTAAAGTGCAGAGGTACAGAGGCGCACGTGGAAAGGCTGGCAACTGAGGACACAGTTGTCTTTTTCAATCGGGAGCGAGTCTCAAGCTCCCGACTGCTCTGAACTCCAGTTCCAGGCCAGTCTCTGGGGACCCAGACTTATATGGGGAGAAACTGGACTGTCTGGCATCGGTCGGAACTCGAGGGCTGCTTTCTCTCAGAGGAGCTTGCAGCGATTACCGCAGAACAGTGAGACCCGGGTCCTCTTAGGGTAGGACTGAGGAGCAGCCAAAGCTGCTTGCTCTGCCTTGTTGATCCCCTGAGACCCCGCCCCACCCAAGCTGTGCACAGAGGCTTTTGCTTATGAAAGGCCTGGCCCTTTGCAATCTGAAAAATTACCTAACAAACTGCAGCTGGGTCAGAGAGACCCAGAACTTCCAAAAGAAGGCCCAAGGCCCCACAGCAGCTTGCATTGCTTCACAGCTGGGCCTCATCTGGGCATCTCCAAACTCCAAACAAAGAAGAGGAATCTGCAGATCTCTCCATAGCTCCTGCTGGGTAGCCTCAGGCAGAGGCTAAATTAGCACCTCCTTAGAGATCCAAGAGCCAGTGTACACAGTGGTCAGAGTGGGACCATCCAGATTACAACTCCTCAGATCCATAATGGACACACTCAGGGGGCAGACTCAGTGAGCACTAAAGCCCCACTGAAGCAAGTCTTGCCCCAGAAGGGTGTCTCCAGCACAAAAGTTCTCCCACTGTAGACACAGCTGATTCTCACAGACAATTGGCCCGGAGGTCAATTCCTTCCAGTGATACCTACAACAATCAAGGCTTAACTCGAACAAGACTGTGCACAAAGCCCACATAGGGGTGCACCAAGAGTGTCCATGTCAGGTAATTGGGGAAGCTGAGCCACTGGGCCCTATAGGACACCTAATACAGAAAGCCACTCTATCAGCACAGGGAAGCATAAAAAATGCGGAGACAAAGAAACAGGTCACAAATGGCAGAAATGGAGGAAAGCAAACGACTGGATATAGAGTTCAAAACCACACTTATAAGGTTTTTCAAGAATTTTCTAGAAACCGCCGATAAATTTAGTGAGACCCTCAAGAAATCTAGTGAGACCCTCGAGGTTATGAAAAAGGACCAACTAGAAATTAAGCATACACTGACTGAAATAAAGAATATTATACAGAGTTCCAACAGCAGACTAGAGGATCGCAAGAATCAGGTCAAAGATTTGAAATACAAAGAAGCAAAAAACACCCAACCGGAAAAGCAAAAAGAAAAAAGAATCTAAAAATATGAAGATAGTGTAAGGAGCCTCTGGGACAACTTCAAACATACCAACATCCGAATTATGGGGATGCCAGAAGAAGAGAGAGAGCAAGATATTGAAAACCTATTTGGAGAAATAATGACAGAAAACTTCCCCTACCTGGTGAAAGAAATAGACTTACAAGTCCAGGAAGTGCATAGAACCCCAAACAAAAGGAATCTAACGAGGACCACACTGAGACACATCATAATTAAAATGCCAAGAGCAAAAGACGAAGAGAGAATCTTAAAAGCAGCAAGAAAAAGAAACTCAGTTACCTACAAGGGAGTGCCCATGCAACTGTCAGCTGATTTCTCAACAGAAACTTTGCAGTCCAGAAGGGAGTGGCAAGAAATAGTCAAAGTGATGAAAACCAAGAACCTACAACCAAGATCACTTTACCCAGCAAAGCTATCATTCAGAATTGAAGGTCAGATAAAGAGCTTCACAGATAAGAAAAAGTTCAAGGAGTCCATCACCACCAAACCAGTATTATATGAAATGCTGAAAGGTATCCTTTAAGAAGATATAATAGAATCAGGGGCATAGAAAGGGAGTGGACTGACTAGTCTCCGGGGGGAAAGGGGTGTGGGGGTGCGGGAAGAGACTGGACAGAAATCATACACCTATGGATGAGGACACTGCAGAGGGTGAGGGGGGAAAGGGCAGAGGGTGGGGTGGGAACCGGGTGGAGGGGAGCTATGGGGGGAAAAAAGAGGAACAACTGTAATAATCTGAATAATAAAGATTTAATTTAAGAAAAAAAAGACTGGACCCATGTGTCTAAAGTTGCGTCCCTATGATGGCTGCCTCCCCCCTGTCCCTCTAAATCAGCCACATTTCTTTAGGATTTCATCAGTAATTTATTATTTAATTTGTCTTTAAAGTGTGTTTTAAAAACATATAAAGACTCTCTTCCCAACATTTACTGAACCCTAGCCTTTTTGCCCAGAGGGAACCACTTTTACATATTTCTACCAGTAGCTACCCCTGTGTTGCTTATGCCACTGGATGCCACCAAAATCCTGAAATCGAATTTCTGATATTTCAGCCAGAATGAAATTTTAATTAAACTTTTTATTTTGAAAAAGAAATAGATTCTTTGAAAAGTTGCAGGAACTCTAGATTTAGCCATTGTTAATGTTTTGTCACACTTGTTTTATCTTTCTATACATATATTACATGATATCACATAATATTCCTACTATTTTCTGTTGTTGAATCTTTTGAGAGTAGATTACACATATGACTATGCCTAGAAACAAAGATGTTCTCATTTAGTCCCCATACAATGATCAATTTCAGGAAATTGACAGAATATTATCCTATCTAATAATAGACAAACATGGTAATTAACCGTACCTCCAACACACTTCCCATTGGCTAATCAGAGCGATATGCAAATTAACTGCCAACCAAGATGGTGGCCGGCAACCAGGCAGCTGAAGCGAACAGGAGGCTTGCTTGCTCCAGTGAAGGAGGAAGCCAAGGTTCCCCGCCTGCCACTGCTGGGCCCTGAGCTTGCACTCTAAGAAACAATGTTACAAATATAGAACCTAAACAAACCCCATGCTTTCAGCCAGCCGGGCTTCAGCCAGCAGGACCGCAACAGTGTTTCAATTATAGAACCCAAACAAACCCAGAAACCTGCTTTCAGCAGCCGAGGTCTCAGAGCTGCAGCTGGGCCTCAGAGCTAAAGCCGGCTCTCAGCTCCAGTGACAGCTATAGAAGGTAAATAAATCCCAGAATAAAAAAAAAAAAGAAAGAAAAAAAGGAGAGGTTGGGAGCTTCAGTCGCCCGCCAGCCTAAAAACGGCCCTCAGCCCCTCACCCAGGCTGGCCAGGCACCCCAGTGGGGACCCCACCCTGAAGCAACAAGATGGTGGCTAATTTGCATACTGAAGGCGGGCAGCAGCAAGCAAGGCTGTCCGCGGTCCAGGACCGGATCTGTGACCCTGCCGGGCGGGGGGCAGCGCAGGAGGCTGTCCGCTGTCCGGGACCCGGATCTGTGACCTGCCGGGCGGGGGGCAGCACTTGAGGCTGTCTTTGGTCCTGAGACCCAGATCTGTGACCTGGCAGGCGGGGGGCAGCACTTGAGGCTGTCAATAGTCCGGGACCCGGATCTGTGACCTGGCGGACGGGGGGCAACACTTAAGGCTATCCGCGGTCCCAGGACCCAGATCCATGACCTGGCAGGCGGGGGGCAGCACTTGAGGCTGTCCACGGTCTGGGACCCGGATCCATGACCTGGCAGGCGGGCGGCAGCGCTTGAGGCTGTCCGTGGTCCCGGGACCCGGATCTGTGACCCTGCCGGGCAGGGCGCAGTGCTTGAGGCTGTCCACGGGATCAAGACACAGATCTGTGACCCTGCCGGGCAGGGCGCAGTGCTTGAGGCTGTCTGCGGTCCGGGAACCTGGATCCATGACCCTTCCCGGTGGGGCAGCAGCTCACACAGCGGCGGATCAGCCGGGATTGGGCAGGGCAGGACCCCTGGCTTCCACCCAGCCCCAGTCACTCTGGGCAGGTGAGCAGTGCAGAGAGCCTCTGGACAGGGGAGGCAGGCTGGCGGAGGGCGGCCTGTACTCCCCACATGGCGGTGGTGACAGCTGTGAGTGCG